TGCAGCAACGCATTTTATTGGCATTTCAGTGATGGAAGGGACCAATCTTCATGGATTTTTCTTTCCTCCTAGAATGTTTGTTTTCCTCTTATTTTTGCATTAGAATCAGTATCTGTGTTACTTAGAACACAAAAGAGTAGTTGGTAGGAGAAACAGATCTTGCCTGACATTTTTGTTTGCCAGTGATGTAGAAGGATACACAATATTATTCATTCTAATGAAGAGCAAATTAGAAAAAGCTTTACTGCGGAACTCAGAAGTCAAGTTATTTACGTAAATGATTTGTTAGATTTTTTTATGATTTTTTTAATAAATACTTTCTAATTTGACAAGTATAACCCTGTGCAAAGCTTGCTTCAGTCTGTTTGGAATTCTAATGAACTTTTATGCTCTACTGCACACATATTCAGATCCCAAATACTATTGGAGAAAGGCTGGATACTATTATGCAATAACTTTGAATGACTTTATTTTGTAGAAAAAAATTTTTTTGCTCATTTTTGTAAATGGAATTCATCTTCCCATCACCTTTCCCTGATATATTGGTCAGAGGAAAGCTTTCTTTCAAAGAAAAGTGAATTTCCATCAGAAGTTTGGAATGTCCCACTTCTTCTTTGTACCAAATACTTTATACTTACACAAATAATACACAAAAACTGAAGAAAAAAACATTATATTTGATGGGGAATGTAAAAGCCCTTTTAAATGAAGTTTTAAAGAAATGTGATCACATATGTGACCTAACAAGCTATGTACAAATCAATCTGTGAAGAGAACACGTTCAGAGCTTGTAAAATGCCTTGCATTTAAACCATCTCATCACTCCCTACAGCTGCCTGAAAGGAGGCTGCAGTGAGGAGGGTGTTGATCTCTCCTCAGGCTACGTGTTACAGGATGCAAGGAAATAGCCTCCAGGAGAAAGCTTAGATTGAGCACCAGGAAGAGTTTCTTCACAGAAAGGCTGGCAAGGCATTGGAAGTGGCCACCCAGGGAAGTGGTGAAGTTGCCATCCCTGGAGGTGTTTAAGAGGCGTGTGGGTGTGGGTCTAGGGACATGGGTTAGTGATGGAACTTCATAGGTCAGGTTGATAGCTTAGCAAGATGAACTGAATGGTCCTTTATTTTGTTGTTCTCTACTGAAACATAGCAGCTAATCACCCTAAGCAAACAGGTGGTTTTGTGGCTCCCACTGAGTGCTGGATCCAAATAGTAAGTGCTGGATCGAGTAAAGGTCCATCTTTTTTAGTATCGTGCCTTGGAGCAGTACACAGCAGTGATTCAAATCTGTGTAAGAAGGAAAATAGCTGCTGACACATTTCTGAACGCTCCAATAGTCTCCAGTAATCTGAACCAGCATTTCTTTCAGCAAATTTATTATTGTTGTAATTGTTTGTTTTGGTTGTGGATGGTTTTTGTTCATTTTGTCTTAGGGTTTTGTATTTTTTGTTATTTTGTATTTATTTAAGAGACGTTAAAGTGCTTTTGATGATGAAATTGATCAACCTCTTAAATGCCTGTGAAGTGTTACCATCCCCAGCATCCTGCGATGAAGAGTTTTTCACATAATATGCATACTATCACTTTTTTTCTGAACATGGTAACTGCTTATTTCATACTCAGAGTATTAATAGTGGGACTCTGTATTCCTTTCTCCATGCAGCTGATGTGGACCTTTGCCATGTTGGTTGTCTCTTTTTTCGAATGAAGAGACATGGTCAGTTCAGTTATTTCCTTCATGGGAGTGATCTGTTACTGCCATTTTCAATTTTACTATATCCTTAGTATCCTATATCTGTGGGAACAGAATTCACAGTTCTAAAGACAAAGGAGCACTGTGACTCTGTTCTGCACAAATCTTTTCACAGGATTATCAACTGCAAACCAAACATTTCACTGCCAAAAAAAGATACATCTCCTCCTACTCAAAAATTGCATGATTTTAAAGGAATGACATTTAAAGGAGATTACTGAAACCAGTGCAAGTCTGTCACTCCTCTCTCTGCAGTCCCTGCTAGTGTTGGTTTTAGCATCTTCACTGTGGTGACCAATAGAGAACAGTGGTGGAAAGAAGAAAAGTTAATTTCCAGGAGAGTTGGGAGAACTCAGCCAGGAAATCAGGGTCAAGGAAAAAAGGTGAGCAGTAATCTGGAGAAGCGGAGCAGAAATAACTGTGGGCATAAAAACGGAAACTATTCTTTCATCTACAGAAATATGAGAGAGGTATATGGATGACTGCTAAAAAAACTCACGTTTTAGACCAGGATTTGACCATGAGACATTGTCGTGATCCTCCCTATTGGTGAGGCCAAACACTGTGTGTGTAGAGCGCATGGACAGCATATGCAGGGGTGTACCAAGGTTGTAAGAACCACAGCCTTAAATCTGTGTTGACTCTAGAAATGTTCAGGAAGTAGTTTCCAGAGATGCTGATGTAGGAGTAACATACTGCAATTCACAAATGGGGCATCTTCCAGCCTTTGCTAGGGTGTCTTTCCGGGAGGTTAATATTCAGAAGTATTCACACATGCCATATGATTCTGTTGTTTTGACAAATATTTTAAAGAGATTCAAAAGTTTTGAAAGCACAGTTAACAGACAAACAACAAGCCTAAAGTTCCTACTGCAAATAACTGCGGACAGTAGATCCAGCACTGAGCAGTGTTAGCCTGGACTTGAGTGAGGCCTTTGACACTGTCCTCCATAACACTGTCATAGAGAAGATGGGGCTGGACAAGAAGAGAGTGAGATGGACTGAAAACTGACTGAGATTCTGTATCTAAAATGGGGGCTGCTTTTCTCCTGAGTGTCAGTAAAGAGTTACTTGGGGCATAAGTGATGGCACAGAAAAAGAAATAAATTGCCTCTAACAAGGTAATTGCCAATTACCAATTGCCTCTAATTGATAAAAGGCGAACTGGCAGATGTTGAAAGATTAAACCTTTTTCTTAGAAAAAACTCTCCAGAAAATACGAGTCTGTTCTTTTCCCAAATAGCTGCAAGAATGAAGATAATGATAACAAGGATAATCCAGATACGAACCAGGAGGAGGAAGGCTGGTTTTCTGTATAAGCGGAGAACGCTGTGAGCACAATGTGCAGCACAGGAGTCTGTTCCTTCCATCCAGAAAAGAGAGTGAGCTGAGCTGAACAGTCCTGACAAAACCAGTAGTGAAAGACTAAATTATTTACATTAGACCATCACTTTTGGTCCTGTTCTGATCTGTACTTTGCTCACACAGGGAAAGTACAAAAGCAGCATGTGGTTCAGTCATGTGATCAGTACCATAGCAATAAAATGGTTTGGAAATGTGGAAGGACATCTGCTGCTCAAGCACTGCTGCAGTGCTTGGGTTCTGTGAGCCCAGCAAGAGTGGAGTGCAGCACTGTCGGCAAGCAAGAATTTTGTGGAGGAACTGGAGAAGACAGTAACTGTATTTTGTAGCTTAGATGTTTAAGATGTGCAACTGAGTTAGATTCTGTGTTCTGCTCTTTTTCTCTGGTGAAACAGGGGTCAGTAATCTGTATCTGCCTTTTGACGAGGGAATTTGAGAGAGTTCAGCCTTGCCTGTCCCTCATATTCTCATATTCAGCGGGGAAACCGCTGCCCCAGCATCTTTTGCAACTTCTTTTGCATTGGCCCAAGAGTGAAGCACACAGGGACAAAATTTACTGAAGAACTATAGTTGTGCATTTGGAGAAGCAGTTCATTCTGTTTATCCAAACCTTCTCTCAGATTGGACTTTCTAGTGCTGTGTTTGATAGAACAAACCCTTGGATAGGAAACAGCAGATTACAGAGCCGCAAAAAACCATCAGCTTCAAGCTTGCCAGTTCTGCAAAAAATGTATGGAGCACATTCTGTTCTACATCTGGTGCCTACCAGCTCCAAGCTGGCTTTTGGCATGTTTTCCTGTGCGTTCTTCTTCCTGTCGCTAAGCAAGTCCACAGAATTTTTTCCTGCACAGAATCACAGAATGGCCAAGGTTGGAAGAGACCTCAAGGATCATGAATCTCCAACCCCCCGCTTCATGCAGGGCCACCAACCTCCCCATTTAATACTAGACCAAGATGCCCAGGGAGTGTGCTGAAAATGACAACTTTAAGACAACATTTTGAGTTTAAGTACTTCTCTACGTTTCTAAATACATATATCAAATCATTATAAAAATAAATAACTTTAAACTTCCACAGAATTCACAGATATTTATTACCTTTGAACAAGTATCTGCCTAATGAATATACCTTAATTTAGATGTATTGCCTTTCTTTGTTTTCTGTGACTGCTCTGCTTTATTACCAGTAGGTCACGAAATGTGATTGCTGTTATATGCACTGACAAGTATGAAAGAACATGGATTATAAGCAGAAATTCTTAAGTTACATGGATAAAACTTTGATATTTCATGAGGAATTGGTTAATTACAGATACATAAACAAGTGCTGTGAGGTATATGACTGCTGTAAAATACAGCCTCCTTTTGCAGATTAATTTTTAGGGTGGCAGGGAAAATGGTTATTTTTCATATCAGCACACGTAATCAAATATTTCCGCCCACATTATTCTTACAGATTCTTGTACATCGCCTTCTATGGAATAGATTGTTTCTCTCTCTCTCTTTTTTTTTTTTTTTTAAATAAAGGGAGAGAAATTGTGGAAGATGAATGTGCAGCTGCCTACACTTGTCAATCCAGTTGATACCCAGTGGTGTGTTCTTAATACTGGTACTTCTGTGAAGCATGCAAGAAGCCAAAACTCGAACAAAATGTCTTAATCTGAACACAATAAATGGAAAACATGAAACAGAAGCACAGTCAGCTTTATTATAGTGTTTCATGAACTACTTTAAATTGAGCAAGAGTAATTTTCAGCAATTGCTTATGAAAGCATGTTAGTTAATTTTTTATTGCAGTTTTAGCCTTCAGGAAGTTAAGAATGTACAGGAAATAAAGAGGGAGCATGAAGAAATTGAATGGATGTGCTCAGAGTTTAAGACTTATTGCTATCATGGTGAATAAGGAGGTGGTGACTGCTCTGCAGCAATTTTGTCATAGGCTGGTGGAGCATCAGGTACCTGTGGTAAGAAAATCAGTGTGAAAGACTGAAAAGACAATTGAGAAGCCATGAAATGACATGAGACATGCAAGGAGTTATCTGCTTTCATATCAGACGTGGCACTGTAGCTTAAAATAGCTGAGTTGATTCATAACGTCTTCACATTGTTTTCATTTTTCTTAACGTGTTTCCAGGTCTTGCATCAGATTGATTTATATGTATGTGTATGTATGTATAATTCATTGTACAGGAATTTTAAACAAAAGATATTTTACCTACTGAGATTTCAACTCCATCTAGAACTTTAGGAGTCTTGATGAATGCTTATTTCCAGTGATAACAATTAGGGTGGCTTATTTACAATTGTAAGTTACCCTTTTCCCTATTTTCAGTCTGTTTAAACACAACTGTATCTTGATCTATATATTTTTCAAGCAAGCTATTTTAAGTTTTTAAAATAATTATGGTTCCACAGTGTTTAGAGGGTCTACAACCCTGAAGTTTTGTGGTGCTCCCAGACACAATCTATTTGTCATATACAAGAATGGTAGGGTATCTGTTAGAGCTGCATATATTTCAGCATTACCTCATATGTTACCTTAAGAATAATGACAATACAATTTCAGAATAAATGTGGGTGAAAGTACAGGGATTTTTTTAAGAAGTATTAGGGTTATATTTAATTAAAAACAAAAAACAAAACAAAACAAAGCAAAAAAAAAACCCCACACCTTCTCAGAGTTAAAAATGTGCAAAACTATTTTTAAGAGTTAAAGTTATTGCAGACTCAGCCTCAAGAGCACAAACCAAGAAAGAAACCATCAAGTGAATATTTACCAAGATTATCTCACTATGTCTTATTGTATTTAAAGTAAATGAAGCTCAAGCTTTAACTTACCACAGAACTAAAGTTCCTGTACTCTTGCAGAGCCGTTTTGCAGTCTGGTGTTGCTCCCTCACCTACCACAGTTTGTATGGTGCCCATACTGATGCCTTTGCTCTGTGAGAGATCATAAAAAAATAAGAAGTCAAAGTAAAACTGAACATGAATCTGGGGTGCACTACATATGAGTTAGTATTTATGCAGCATTTGTTAGGATGTGGGATTAGGACTGGACACGACAGCAATAACTAAGAAGAGCAATCTACCCATTGCTTTTTGCTGTCTCTCCTGAAACATGCTCTCCCTCCTGTATCATGCATTGCGTTGCCAGCAAAAATGAGGATTGCATTTATTTTTTTTGGCCCGCAGTTACTTCTTGGACACCTTCTTTGCTATAAGAAGGTCACCTCCTTTTCTTTTTCCCATTCCTTTTCTTAATCTCAAACTCCTTTCTTTACCATTTCCCACTTCTTTTTGTACACCCTGTACTAGTTCTCCTCCTTCCAAAAGGCCTAACAAATTGTGAGGTTTTCAAAACCACAAAACGTCAGCTGTTAGATGGAATTGGAAAGGAAGTTGTGCTGTGCACAAAGAAAGCATTAAAGATGTGATGGTGTACATGTATTGGATCTGTCAGTGGGAAGGCAGCAGGGCAGTTATCAGAACAGCGAGGAAAGGGGTTTGCTGGTGAGTTACGGCTTTTAATTCGAAACAGTCACATCTTTTTGGAAAGGTTAGAAAAACTAATATTGGGAAACCAGGTTTCCAAAAAGCCTTCACTTTGCATGGTTAAAAACTGCCTCCATTTCACAGCAAGAATGCTCTTCAGTGCCAAAGATGAAGATTTGAATGTTCCAACACCACAATGTTGTGGGACAGACCTAATTTGATTTTTCAAACATTTCTGAAGAAGGCAAGAAATAGCATTTTTAAGCAGTAATTTTTAGAAAGTAAATCTCAAAATCTGTCTTGCTTTTTTTTGCAAATAATTTTTAACTTTTATAAGAAAGTATTCTTGGTCAAAGTATTCACTAGCACAAGTGTCACATTTATTAAATTAATTGTAACAGCTGTTGGTTTTTTTTTTTTTTTTGCTTCCTAGGCTGACTCCAATTGCATCTGTTCTTAGATGCAAATCTTCTGAGCAGAGAAAATGTTGTTTTATTCAAATGAAAAATTGACAGGATATGTGTAGATTTAAATATGCTTTCTAGAGACTAGATTTTTCTGTCATCATGTTGTGAAAAACTGAGCAATTGTCTCCACTTCCTTACGCTTATGTTTTCTCTGATCTGCTTGCAAGTTTTACTGCATTTCTTATTCTGTGTTTTCACCTGTTAATATGTCTGAAACAAGGACATCTAATGGTAGCTGTAGTGTTGTCAGCATTAATGTAATGCAAATAATGATGGTATGTTGTCAGAATAACATGTGAAAGTGAGCTGCCATGCTTACCCGTAGTCTTTTGTAGCCACTGCGCCTTTTGTAAAACCAGCATCCAAAGATAAGCAACATAGCCAGCACCAAAATGAAGATCCCAATTCCCAGGGCTCTGTGAAAAGAAAAAAAGATAAGAAAAAATAAGTGACAGTAGAACTGGGTGCATTCTTTTGGGAGCAAGAATGGTTAGATCAGGAACTTGTATCTCTGTTCCTTTGCCAGAGGGAGGGATGAAACAGGATATACCTCAGATAATAAAGCATCGGTAGGTTAATCCAGTCTCTGTAGATTAAGCTGCTAGATAAATTCTCTGCCCAGATCTAAAATATTCTAAAAATGAGAAATATTCGTATCTTTGAAGATAATAATCTACCAACAATCCATGCTTCTAAAATATCCTTATGTGTAAATTCAGCAAACTGCTGAATTATGAATTATGAATTATGATTTTGGAAGGGAACAAGAAGTAAAATAGGTGCCAAGCCTGCTGAAGTGTCTCATGTTTGTTAAGTTTTTCCAGGCAATAAGAATTGAGAGATGTATCCCAACTTGCATCATCATGCAATAAATTCTGGCGACATAATTTTTTAAATTATTTGTAAAACACAGCACAGTTTCAAAAACCTAGTAAGAAACTTCAGTATTTATTTTTTTCATGAACAGCTCTGTAGCTCTGTATTTATTTAGTTCTTGTTCTATGACACAGCAGGTACAGTGTTGCTGTCACTGGGTCATTTTGGGGAATATAGGTTCTGCACACTGTGCTGTAGGACATCTTTCCCACTGTTTAGGATATTAAAGAAGCAAAATGACAAAGTTACTGTAGATTCTTAGTCTCAAAAAACTTCCTGTGCTAACGTGCTTTCTGTTAAGGCACTGAGCATTCACTCCTCATTTCTGTGATCTTCGAACATTGAGGAACAGAAAAGTCTGGGAAAGCCCAGAGGGATAAGTTGGCAGGAAAAAAAGAACAAAAGATGATATGAGTGAGGATAAATCTATCCCAGCACGCAGCCGTGTGTCGGGTACCCAGCTTCTCCAAAGTAAACCCTCGGGTTTTCCCACTGGGACCGAGGAGTGGGGAACGTCACGCATCAGAGACCTTTAACATTTACCTGCTCTCTTTTTCTATGGTTCGGTGTTCCATGGAACATTCTTTCTTATGACCTGAGGACTCTGAATATGTGGTTCTTAATGGAGTTTCACTCAGAAATGATTTAGTGAGAGTCACATCGTGTGCACTGTTGTCTCCATCTGCTTTTAGGAGATTTACCTGGGGTTTCCACTGATATTATTCTTTAGGGTATTCCTTAGAGCAAAGCGTTGTTTCTTTGAGGTTCTATAGGGACATAAATCTTACCGAAAGATTGCACTGTTACAACCTCCAATACGTAATTCCAAATGAGCCTCAACAACCCTGGTAATGTTATCATAAAGGTTAATATGAATTGTGAGCATCGGACCAAGCTCTAGATTCTTGAATTCTGCAGTTCTGATTATTCTTAACCATCGACTGCTCTTTTGGATAATTCCATGACAAACATTTCAAAGAACCACGAAACAACCAAAATACATTTTTTCTTTGTACAGCCCTGATTTGTATTTATGTACTATCCTGGAAATTTCTTTTCAGTATAATTTTTCTTTCCACACACATGCTAAAATAGGTTTTGCTTTATGCTTACTCTTCTGCTGTGAAATAGGTCCGTCCTTTTCCTCTAAAGAAGTTTCCATCTTCACGGTGGCTTCCTCTGGGCATTTTGAGATCCTACCTCTGTACAAAACCACGTATTAGAGCACAATAGAAATATCTGTATATGCTGATAAGTACTATCAAATTTTTGTTTCAGTGGGGGCATTTTAGAGAGGTAGAACAATATGCTATTCTCAGAATTAAGCAGACTGTTCCGATTTAAAAACTCAGAAACGCGAAACTCAAAACTATGAGCAGTTCCACGTGAGTGCAGCAGGCTCTGATTTAAGACGATCCTTTCAGGCACTAAGCAGTGACTGATTTATGAAGCAAAATCTCACAGGAATATAGAAAAAAAAATAAAGACAATTTGCCTGGACAAGGAAAAATATTTGAAATCAAGAAAAATAATATTATGCACATACACATGTTTCTGTAGTTCTCTTACACCCTGTAAGAGTTCAAAGAGTCAGCACAAACTGTCACAGACCTGTTGGTTTTCAGATGATTACTATTGTATGTTGGCCAACAAGCACAGAGAATTTATAATCCTAATTCTCAGTTTTAAGAGAACAATCATCCAACTAACAATAGTCCGAACATTACAGAGGAAGAATCCACAAGTAATCATGTCTCTGTCATGTAAGCAGATCAAGAGATTCTACTTGATCGCATCCAATTCATCTACTATCTCATACTGGGGTAAAGTGAGTGTAAAAAGCAGTGAATTTGCCAAAGAAACTTCTATCCAAGGAATCAAAGCATTTTCAGACTTTCACTAAGAGTCTGTTAAGTCTCCACTAAAGCATAATTTTTAAGCAACATAGAACAGTTTGGGTTTAGGTAGAATAAAAAATGCAAGCCTTACCTTCTTCGGACCTGTACTCTGTTAACTAAAGGCATGTACAGCTTTCCTTTCCTTGACTTACTCTGTTTTTTTCCTTCTTTGATCTGTTCTCTTATGACTATCACGAGTTTAAATTCCTTTTAGTACAGCTTCTGAATGCATTAATTAGCATGAAAGGGGCCAGGAGACAACTTTCTTCTCACAGCCTGCATCTTTCCCTCCTAATAAGCACCTCAGAAATCAGTTATTTCTTCATGAGATTACCTACCTTGCTAGAAGGGGCTCAGCACCACTCTGCCTGCATGAACTCCTCAAGTGGGCAGCCTGATACTCAATAAAAGCATGTTTTGATTTGGGGCTGGTTGTTCTGTGGCTCCTGTCTGACAGAGTTAAGGGACTCATTTAACTAAAGCTTTGCTTATCCACATTTTATGTCATTGTAACACTGTGTAGAGGCCAAGACCGTTGGAGCAAAACTTAAAGATGACACTGGTACACCATGGTGGAAGCCTCTTAGTTTATAGCAAGTAGTTCGATTCTGTACTGGCTAGGAAATGCTGCAACAGACTGTTCTGTGTGCTGCAGAACTAATGGAGCCCGGTTCCCAGTGGATTCGTGTGAATTGTCGTCGTGCTCACACACACACAAGCTGTAATAACTGCATTTCAGAACATCAGGCAAGAAACAGCAGCCTGTAATGAATCCAGAACTCTGGGTTCTGTGGTGGGTCAGAAGTGTTAGTTACTGACAAAGGCAAAAAAGATACAAGGACCATGAAGGACCACGTTCTGTTTGATATTTCTCTCAGTGAATCATTTGGGCCTCTCTATCCTGCAAAACTTCCTGTTTTAGTTTGGAATACTCTGGTTACCTTTGAGGCTGCGACACTGGCTCCAGACTTGGTTGAGAAATGGCTGTTTTCAGAAATGAGCAGAAAAAAAGTGATAGTGTGAGAGGTCAACGCCTATTTCTTCAGGAAATCGGTTGAAAAGTCTTAACATCAATATTTCTAGTGAGCTCAGGGCTGGGAAGAGCTGGACCGTTTCATCTGTTCACAAATTACGCAGCTTTTTTCCAGCAATGTTAAAAATCTTACCTTGCCTCAATGCAATCTTTGTTTGGGCAGCTCTCCCCAGTGGTGCCCAGTGCCAGGGCAAGAGGCGGTGGGCACCAACTGGAGTGCAGGAGCCTCGCTCTGAATGCCAGGCAGTGCTCCTGTGTTGTGCAGGTGCTGCAGATGGCTCAGGCTGCCCGGGGGCTGTGGCTCTCCTCCTGGGAGATCTTCAAATGCTGCCCGGGCATGGCTCTGGGCACCCTGCTCTGGGCGTCCCTGCTTGAGCAGGGTTTGGACCAGATGGACCCAGATGTCGCTGCCACCCTCAGCCATTCTGTTACTCTGATTTTTTACTTGACAACTTAAGACCAAAATCTGAAATGACCTTTTTTCTAGAGTAAAGAAAGTCAAGGGAAGAAGAGAAACAACTGTGAAAAGCATAAATCTTCCTATTTAGGTAAATTATTCAGTGTTTCTTTTACATAATCCCAGATGAATCTAGTGGGAGTTTCAAAGGTGAATGAGATATAGAGAAACTTGCTGTAGATAGTCATGAGTGTAAAACAGTAAGCATACACAATCACAGTCCAGTAAATTCCTGAAGAAGCATGCCAGCTCTTGTGTAATGCGTTGAAAATGTCACAGAATACCTTACTGAGCCATGTGTTTTCCTGAAAAAAAGGTTTAAGTTCTGTGAGGGGATGCTCACTGAAGACTACTGTTTGTTCTTTCAGAGTTGAAGCTGATGCATACAGAAAATCCATGTGATACCAAAACCAGTGCATCTCTGCCCCTTCCTTGCCTCAAGCAGTGCAGAGGAGAAAATGTCAATTGATGGAATAGTTTGTGTTCTGAAAGAATTTCTTGTTAATAGTATAACAAAGGGATGTGGGAGAAAACTTTGTCATAGATCAGTGGTGCCATCTGTTATCTAAATACACAGTGCTGCTATTGAGAAACTGGGTGGGTGGGAAGGTGAAACACCATGTCCTGGTTCTGACCTCAGTTCTTTTACTAAACCTTGTTTCTCTGAAGTGGCATTGCTAACTCTGTGAGTGCAAAGTCAAAGGAATTTATATGTGAATTCTACAAGTATTACCTTTTTAAATACTATATTTCAGGAGAAGATGATGTAAGACCCATACCAGCCTGGCCATTTCTTTTAGCCAGCAGCCTGTGGAAACCTAGGACACTCTGATAAATCTCTATGATAGGTATGAAATGAATGCTCTAGTCTAACTGAAAATAACATGCCTGACCTTCTAAAACTAATGACTTCTTTTTTTATTCTGTTGATAAATGTGATTCCATCATTCCAGGATGACTTCATTTTTCCCTTCACAGTATCACAGAGCCCTGCTGCTCCTGCTGAGCCCACATGAAGGTCTCCAGTCCTGCCCTGCCTGGAGCATGACTCTTCATGGTCAGGCTGGGCTGCTCAGGGCCTCACACTGGAGCAACAGGGTCCTCAGGCCAAAACCAGCCCAAACTGCCTGGGCCCTGGCTCCATGGCCCAGCCATCCTGGTGGGAAGAATCTTCTTCTCACCTCCAGCTTGATCATTTCACTCGTTTTTTTCCGTTCTTCTCACCCTCCCACCATGTACCCAGTGCAGAACCCAGCTGTGTCTCCTCTGTCCCCTGTTGCTGGTGCTGGGATTTCTGCTGGGTCCCCAGAGCCACCCCACTCCACACCTGAAGTATCCCACAGCCCCCCTGTAGCCCCAGGCTGAACTCAGCCATGCTTGTCCATTTCTTTACAGTACCGGGTGCCTCCAAAATGGATGCAAGCAGTGCTGAGTGGTGCATCTTCATCTGATGGGCTCTGTACCCAGAGCCCAGGAAGCTACCAGCCTTCTGCACTGCCACGGGCAGATCTCAGGATGCACCCAAAGATGGAAATCAGTGACAGGGACTGTAATTAAAATACACGAGTTTAATAGAGAATACTGAATTGCAATAGAAAGGTAATGTCCTATATTAAGTGTCTCCCCATTATTTTTCCTCTCCCACAGTTCCCCCGTGTTTCGAATGACAAGAAATAGAAATAAAAATGAAGGGTTCTTTTGAATATCAGGATACTGAAGTAACAAAAGAAAAAAAACTCTTTCAATAGAAATCTAAGTTTTAAATTGGCACAATTGACACGTTATTTTTCTGGAAATCCCTAATCCTTGCTACAGACCTTACACTGCAGATTGTGCCCCTTCCACTGTGTGCTCTGTAATCAAGCCCTTGCAGATAGTTGGTATATGAATAGCTGAGTTAATTTCCTGCAAATTAAATTAAAATTTTGAGTTAATTTTCATGGGACGGGAAATAAATACTTCAGATGAGCAACTGATGTTAAACTCGGCTACACAGATAAAATGCTTGACTGAAAAAATATTCTGAAGTTCATAAATGAGGCAGCTATAAATGCAGAGTAGCTTGGAAGTTTCTAAGTCCTATATTTTTTCCTCTCTCACTGTTTTTTTGTTTGTTTGTTTATTTTTGTTTTCTTCTTAATGTGATCCAGTCCTAACTCTCTTTTCTTCTCTTTCCCAGGTAAAATAAAACTACAGAAAATGTGATTTGGGTATAGATTCTTCTTAATCTAACAAATCAATTGTTTTCTTTCTTCAAGAGCATTAGGATAACTGAAAGATACTACTGAACAATTCAGTATATTTAAATTCTCAAGTCTCATCTATTCTCTGATATCTCTCTGTTTCTGTAGCCTCCTATGGTCTATTTCTATGATTAGTGTCTAAAATTAGAAAGTCTTTTTCCCATGAGATATCTCTGCCTTGCTGTGAGTTATAGAATCATATCATAGAATCATAGAATGGCCTGGGTTGAAAAGAACCACCATGATCATGTTGTTTCAACCCCCTGCTCTGTGCAGGGTCTCCAACCAGCAGACCAGGCTGCCCAGAGCCACATCCAGCCTGGCCTTGAATGCCTCCAGGAATGGAGCATCCACAGCCTCCTTGGGCAACCTGTTCCAGTGCGTCACCACCCTGTGTGAAAAACTTCCTCCTAATATCTAACCTAAACCTCCCCGTATATCAATTTCTAATTGTCTATACAAGAAAATGAAATAATTGTGCCTACCATATCTCAACCTATTACAGATTTGAAGACTGTTTTCATTTTCAGTATAAGATTTTGTTTTTTAAATTGGACAGACTTTTTCTTCTGGCACTTTATTTTTAACACTTATCATTCTTGTTACACTTCAACCTCTGCATTTTATGCACCCCTTCTAGTTAAAGCCTTGCAAGCATTGTTCTCTCAGTTATCATACTATTGCACAAAGAAATATTTATTAGTTTTAATATACTGTTACATCTGAGAGTCTTGTTTTGTTTGAAGTCCACCATAATTTCAGGTGTTCTACTGTTAATTGTCAGTCCTTCTCCATTTTATGTAAGTGCACTTTTCTTACTGCTTCAGATACTTAGGACTACATTTCTCTTTGCTGAATTATATAATTGATGTCATTTTCTCCATTTACAATGTTTGTTTAGATTCCAGGCCTGCTCTGTAGGATAAGTGTAAGCTATTATCTCAAAGCTAAATTCATGTACTCCTGGTTTTATATCCAGTCTGTTCAATGATCACTCTGAACACTGCTTCTCCAGGCTAAACATCTGTGAGCTGGTGTCTTTTTCTATTTGAAAGTGATGGCTGTGGCCTGTATTTCGAGGGGAAGGTTTCTGCCTGCTGCAAAAAGCTTCGTGGTAATTTTGTTTAGATCATAGCCTCTCTATCACAGCCTTGTGGGGCTGCGTTGAAGACTTGTAAAGTCAAAACGCAGCTGCAACATCAAAATAACATTGTGGCAGTGGTTATAGGTGTTGTTTGCTTGTGAACTAGCGACTTTCTTCCTCTGTTTTACATACTCCTACTCAAAACACCCACTATTAAAAAGAATCCTAATATCCTAATATTGATTTTCAAGAAGTTGCATGATGTCCAGTGTAATCACACCACTACATCATGGTCTTGGTACCTTCTTTTCTGAAGTTTCAGAAAATGGAAGGAAGTGTAAGGTAATGATAATTTTTCTGATTTAGTACTAGCATGGTTTCCTTTTTCACTTCTTTGTTGAAATTGATCTAAAACAACTAAAAATACAGCTGCTAGGATGAGAGTGGCTCCTGCCATGTAGAAGCCTGCTCTGTAGTCTCCAGCCATGTCCACAATCAGACCTGGATAGGAAAAAAAAGAGACAGTAATGTGGCTGACAGAAAACAGGCCAATGCGAATTAGCTCATCAGTGTGAACACGTCCTCTCATAAAGGGAGCACCCTGACTACATACCTTTCTTGCAACTTTCTGCACCATGAAAGCATAAAGCGTCGCCACATTATTGCACTTGAAAATTTCACAGAAAATTCTCTGTTCATCTACCTTGCAGACACAGATTGTGAAACAAAGTGCTACTTCGTTTGAAATGCTTTCCAACTCAAAATTTATCGGGCGATAAAAACAATGGCAGAAAAATAAATTAATCATGTGGCTTTGTATCTTAGGATCTTCGCATTTAACAGCTACTGTAAGTTGGACAACAACTGTAGAGCATGGGAGTTTAAAAAAGGAAAGAAGAGGCCCCCTGGTGGCGACAGACTCTGGTGAGTCACCTACGGCGTTAATGGCTTCCCCATTCATCGTTTTTCAAAAAATCGTCGACGTTAACAAAAGAAAAGACCTCCGTTTTTACACAGCTTTTATGCACACAACACACCTGAGACATCGTGCGCTGTACTGAAGAAACAGCAGTACAGTAGTAGTGCTGTAGCAGTGCACGTGTAGCACTGGCTGCTCAGTGCTCACAGCTACAGGTTCACCTGGGGCCGGCAAAGGCTTCTTCTTTGTTCAGCCTCTATCCAGTAGCAGGACCATTGCATATACTGCCTATTCTCCAGCCCTCACTCCAATCTAACATCAGTCCTACTAGGCAAAACATCTTTGAAATAAAATCTTTTAGCTATTACTCTGAAAGTAAGAGAGAAGAGCTAGGTAAGCACCATGGTTTCTCTCCTCTTCTGCACTTTCTTTTCAGCTTGCTACGCATACACAAAGCATCACACTGATACCCAAATAATCAGTGCTGATGAGCAGGCATTATTTCTGCAAGTCTCGTTACTGTGGTACTTTATTCAGATCTTCCCTGACTAAATCTGATACCACTCTCTTTCAAATCCTCTATAAAACTTCCTAGTCCTTGTGCTTTAAAGTTGAATTAAAATATTACAGTATTCAGTTTGACCCACTTGTCTCCTATTACACACTGTCACTGCCACAGAAATCACAGTAGTCTGTGAAGTCTCTGATTTTATTCAGTGCACTTTGGATGAAGACTCAGATTCACATGTTACGTCAGTCATTTTTCTACCATACCGCTTAGTAAATTTCCTACAGCCAGCAGCTAATTTCTCTTGCATTTTCCAAGATGAACAGTGTATTGCTGCTAACAAATAAAAACCATATGCAATCTCACTGTCTGCTTTCTCTTCCCACTGCTTTTTTATACTGATTCCCCATACATTATTACACTGTTCAGCTGAAATGCTGTCTGAAAACAGCAGCATCTTTGTGAATATTTCCTTCAGGTACACATAGCTCAACATTTCAAGCCATTAAGTGTGACCTTCTGTGGAAACCTTCCCAGCAATTAGCAACATCTATGCAGAATGATTATTCTCAAATTCCAAAAACTCAGCTGCTTTTTCTATGAAAGTATGGATCTGTTGTTTGTCCCAGATATGTATTTTCAGTATTTACTTGTTTGTCCAGGCATTCCTGAGCTAATGGAGAAAGAAATCTGGCTCCAGCTCTAAATATTTCAGTTTGGGTAACCATTCCTCATTATTCTAGTAAACTGTATTTAGCAGAGTATACACTTACCAGCAAGAGGAGGCCCCAAAAATCCTCCAGTGCTTCGAATAAGCATGAAAAGCCCTAAAGCACTGTCAAAATCTGACATGCCCACAACTTCTGCTAGCACTGTAATGTGAACAGCAACTGTTGTGCCAAAGAAGAATCCATAGAAGCCAGTGAATATTGCCAAGGACAGGTAGTTGTTAGCCAGTGGCAGAAGCATCAAGGAAGTACTGATCAAGGTGATTGTCATTGTCAGTAAGTGAATAGTTTTCGTAAGGTGGAGATTGGCATACCAGCCACATAGCAGTCTGCCTGCAAAATCCACCATAGCCAGAATGGATAGGAGAGATGCAGTCCAAGATTCGTCTATTCCCAGGCTGTAGCTTAGTGGAACTAAAAATAACGGAGGAACAAAGAAACTCATTGCAGCTAGTATGCCAAACATGGCATAAAGCACAAATTCTGCTCTCCTCAGAAGCATCCAGTTGAAGGTTCTGTGTGTGATGATAGACTTCCCTTCTTTGTCTGTCTTAGATGCACCACTGCCAGGTGTTGGTTCAGGATGGCTCACCTCAGGGTGGAAGCTGCTTGTCAGGGGTCGCATCAGTATTCCACAGACACAGATGTTGAGTTGGGTGCCACCTATGATCAAGAGGGCACCTTTCCATCCATACTGACTAATCAGCCACTGGAAAAATGGCCCAAATGTAAATGCAAACACACATTCTCCAGCACTGGCAATAGCATTGGCCAGAGCTCTTTTCTTGGAAAAATAATGGCTAACAATGCTGATGGCTGGTGTCCATGAAAAGGAAATCCCAAGTCCTGAAAAACACCAATATGAATACCATCAGTTAGATAGTGCTGAAGTATTCTGTTGAGCTGGAAATTAAAATGGTCAGTGCTCCTATGTTTGTGAAGACAGTAACTGGGAAAATAAAAATATTTTCTTGCCTAGTGAAAGAATCAGCTCATTTGTATTATGTGCTACAGTGTATATTTGTGGCACTTCTTCTGTAAGAATAGGTTGTAAGATAAGAAAAGAAAAAAATAAAGAGGAGAATGATGTATACACAATTATATTCTTACCATGAAAAAAATAGCAACAGTTGTTCAGACAAATTTGAAGATGTTCCTAGATCAGATCTCTGGGTTAAGCTCAGCTGTGCTCAGTGCCAGAAAGTGAGATGAAGGAAGCTGGTAGCACACCAGCTATGGGTACTGCTCACTGTCTTGCCAGGCTGCTTGGTTTCAAACCTGCTCTCATTTACTTTAATTTTAATGGCTCTCTATAATCATTTAGCAGGCCAAAGAACTCTAATTCCACACATTTTCAAGTATCCAGCATAGAACTGGGAATGTTACTTTGTTAAAAATGCTCAAAATGCTCAACATGTAAGATCATGTAATAGAAAGTACAGTGTCTGGGAACTCTAGGCCCATGTACTTCAGTATGCTTTAGATTCCTCAGGCCTTCACAGAACTATCAGCCTCTGATAAAACAGTATTCTTTTCATTTTCTGGTTGCATATAATTTGCAGATACAAATTACTAGTATTGGTTTTCTACTTTGTCATGCAATTTTCTAGCACAGATTCTTACATCCAGAGTGGGAGAAGAGGGAAACAACCTTCAAATATGGACACTGGTTTTAGATGTTTATAAAATCAAAACAGATATCAGATTTTAAAACTCCTGCAATTAGCGTCCTTGAGTAAGGGCTCTGAGTTGCTAGTGCAAGAAACCTGTAAAGCCACAAAGATATACCTTGTAGGAAGCCAGTTGTTGCATACATCCAGATCATGTTGAGCCCAAGACATCCCAGGGCCATTCCTGAAAATGCAAGGAGTCCTCCAGTGATCACAACAGCACGGTGGGTGTATTTTACACATAGTGAGCTGGCAACAGGGGCTAAATCAACAGCAAACAGGAGCAAGAGACACGTTAGAAAGCACAATGACATATCAGAGCAATCAAGTAAAGCATGTGAAGAAGTAAGATCTTTACTGTGCATGTCTGTCACACACATATGAGGGAGAGATGGCCTACTTCTGTTGCATTCTGCTGTACAGGAGGGTAGGTCGATATCTGGGCTGATAGAGAAAAGGCAGCACAAATTTAAATAACAAAACTCCCAAATTCATTCCAACTATCACCCGTCCTTTGGCGGTGTTTCCTGCCAGCAGGATATATGCCTTTTGTGAAGCAAGAATGACCACTAGATGGAGCCCAAGTAACACAAGCACCTCTCGTTCCGTTCGCCTTCCTGGAGGATACACTTACTCTGCTTCACATAAACCACCCGTATTTTGGAAACGAGTTCCGAGATATAAAGAAATTCACTTAATGAGAGTTTTGTTCACAAAATGAAAGAAGGTGGGAGACAAAGAATAGATGGCACTCAGAAAAGGAGGTTTTATGGTAACTTGTAGGGGCAGGCTATTGTACTTTCACCTGTGTTAAGAAGTAGTGACTTTGATAAATAAAACAAGTAAAATAAACCTGGCTGAGAAGTATTAACAGCCACAGAAGCTGCAGGACATATGCTGTCTGATAGAAGAAATGCAAATAAACATTATTTCAGCATTTGCATCAAAATTACAAGGATTTGGTAAGCATGTAGAGATGTTAAGATAATTCAGTAATGTTCTGTCAGAAATAGTGGAAGGGATGAAGCAAGAAAATGTGTATACAGCTGGAGACTCATACAATGAGTAAAACTGGGAAAAGTAGTCTGAGGACAACAAGAGGTATCCGTGAAAGTTCTTAATGATGGAAGTAAAATCTGCAGCTGGAGAAGAGTCAACACACAGGGCAATTTTTTTTTTTTTTTTTTTTTTTTTTTCTTTTTAGAGAATGAGAAAAAACAGGCAGAAATTGAATGTGGGGTAGCAGGAGGAAGAAAGGAGCTAGCCACAGAACTGGAAACGAAGAAGATAACAAGGGAACAGAGTCTGGAAGGCAATACTCAGAAAACTTGTAATCACAGTGCCAGAGAGAGAGGAGATGGAAGAGGCACCTAATACCAAAAGGAGGCCTATGTGATGGGCAAAATCCTTGCACTTGGTAAATCAAACAGCTTGTTGCAGATGCAGATCCTCAGACAGAAACAAGGTCTCCTCCTATGCAAGATGCAGAGATGCTGTTGAAAATATCCAAATGGGAAAAATTAATAATTCACTGATCATCCTTTATACTGAGCCAAATGGCATTGAAGGTTTCACAGTGGAACATGTTAGGAAGAGCTAAGCAAGGCCAGGAAAGATGCTTAAGGAACTGGAGGCTCAGGTGATCTTCATCAGTAAGTCTTCTGGTCCCTATAAATGAAGCAAAGGCAGAAGGAAAATTACTGAATGATGCAATAATTCATAAACTGCTGTATGGAAGAGTTTTAGAATGTTTGATCATCAAGCTCAACTCACTGGAAGAGGATTATTTTCAAATGATTTCAAAGAATGAGGAGCAGTTTCTGCTGAAAACCATAACCATTTTCTTTGAAGTACACTAGACTAAGACCTATTCAGGCTACTGCAATTTTGCTGGTATATAAAAAACAAAAGTAAAAATAATAATTTATGAAACTATAAGATCTGGAGTTCTTTCATCCTCCTACATTGCCTTTTTTTTTCTTGCTGCTCTAAGTTCTTATGTCTGAATGACATAATAGTATCACAATTAGGTCAGCGGTAAGTCTGATTTGTAAGCCAAATAGATTTTCGTAGAAATGGATGAAAAAGCAAGGACTTTTCAAATAATTATTTCTGTCAGAATGAAAGAACACTGCAAATCAAGCTTCAATTGTAACACCTAATGGAACTAATAAAAACTTGGCAGTGCATGATTTGCTTTATCTTTTGACTCTAAATTTGAATGATAGTTTTGTTCTTAATATATTTTTTCCAAGAAAGATCAGCTCTTCAAAGTCTTTGTAAGCACTAGGCGTGGACTGAGTAGGATGTACATAATTACACAGTATCTATGCAATGAAGTGTCTCCACAAACAAAATTGTAATAAAATTTATTATGTAAGGATACCTACTTATTGCAATTACATTTCTACATGAGAATATCTGGACAGGATTTCTCAAATTCTGTGCAGTTCTTGCCTGCACATGTCTGAAAGCTTTACCACTATGGTAAAGCATGATCCAGATCACAATGGCACAAAAGGCTCTGATTAGTAAGTGAAGAGCCAAATGCAGCATATTTTATTTTCTTCACTTCTTGCTTTGGCAAATGGAGTATTTAACCTGATCCAATTGCTCACGGTATTTGGCTGATTTATAGTTCTCTCTTTCTTCCCTTATTGTCTGCTTACACTCTGTAAGGTCTTATCTTTTTCTTCTCTACAGATGAATTGATTTTTTTTTTCCTTTTAATCTCATGAGATTTTTGTTAGATAGAGAACAAGGAATTACTTTAAGGGAGGAAGGAGAGCCTGAACTGGGATTAGGCACAAGGAGAGGGAAGTTTTGTGGAGTAAAAAAGGAGAAGGAATGGGGGAATTGATGTCACCATTGTGGTAGCATACAGCTTATCTAGTAGGCAGGATCACCGTCCTTAGGTCTTAAAGCACTTGGAAAAATGGTAGTCACTGTAAAAATCAGTGAACTAGCACAAACTGGTTTAGAATTTGATCCAACAATCTCTGAAGTTCTTAGCATTATCATCCCTGAGTTTGATACAAAGTCTGTAGGAAAACTGAATTATGAGACTAGGTACATAGAGTTCTCTAAGATAACCAAATTTCAGTGCATACACACAGAGTACTCACTTTATCACTTGATGTCTGAGGCATGGATACATTTTTGTAAGAGGAAGCAAATGCCAATTTTTTGAAGAGAAGAAAGAAGCATTGTCCCTGCATGTCTTTATTTTGTAGTTAGAATTTAAAACCAAAATGCTAAAGGGAAACTTTCACCTACCTCCTAAATGAAAGGTGGCAATAGTTATCGATGTGATCCAAGAAATGGTGCTTGCAAGCTCATCAAAGTGCTCCTGGATTTCAACAAAGAAGAGACCAAAAGTCTTGAGGACAGCAGCAGTAAGGCCCATCACTATGAAGGCTGACACTACCACAACCCATCCATAGCCACCATCTGGTGGACTGATGTCTTTGGTCTGCATTTTTCTGCTTCTCAAATCTTCTCTCAGTTGTGATTTGGTTTTGTTTTGTTTTGTTTTAGTAGCAGTTGTGACAAGGATCTTTAAAAGATCTGCAAATTAGTAGAAGGCCAATAATTAAACAAGTGAATTTGAATAGTCTTGGAATTTTTTATACAAATAATTATCAAGTGAAAATAAATTATGCATTGCAGTAGTTAGATTGAAAATACTAACTGGCAAACAGGTGTCATAGGACACAGAAAGAGGAGTAGAAAGTACAAGGAAGAAAGTTTAGAAGTTACAAAAAATATTCAGGCTAGAAATGTTACAAAGATAGAATCATGACAAAATTGAAGTGGGTCAGAAGACCATGACAGGCTGTGCTGAATGGCACATTGGTTGGCACTATGGCACTATGACTGAGCAATGTGGTCCCGCAGAAAGCATTCCTGCACATAGCAGGTGGGTTAGAACTGGATGATCTTATGGTCCTCTCCAGCCCAAACTACTCTGTGACTCTGTGATGACAGATGTAAGTTCCAGGAATATAGCAAATCCTTTTCCTTTTTTTTTTTAAAAGTTGTGCTTTGGTTCTAAAATTCCATGTGATGTGGCAACTTTGACTGAGGATTGTAAACGTATAAACCTAACACAAACTCATTAAGATTATTTAGAATTATGCTTTTGAATTTTTATATTACTCTCTGTGTTTCAAATTCAAAGCCATTGCACAATTTCTCAGTAATTCCAGGGGCAGTACATCTTCTGTCTACATAAACAAGACGTATGCAATCTCAAAAAATTGTATGAACATGAAACTGCATGTTATTCAGGTCTCTAAGCCACACCTTAAAGAACCAGGACTAGATGTGGCAGTGGAACTCTAAATGCTAACTGTACGTCTTCAGATTTTAGAGAACCTCTTCACAGCATGCAAAGGGTACTAAAATTTTTCCTGGATACCACAGATAAAACTGTGTGGCAGAAACCTTTGGAGGAATATTTTAAAAAGGTCTTTGTCTCAGGAAATCTCTAAGCTGCAAGTTGTCAGAAACTTTATGCTTATGCTGTTCTTTTACAAAAACACCTTATTTAGACCTGAACCAGACATTTTCATAGTGCGTGTAAAATTGCAAGGAGTAATGCGTAAGAATTTTGGAGTGATCTTTGTAATACTTGCACATTTATAAATATGGATGGTTCCAGAACTGCTAAGATTTTGAATAAAAATATGGGGCATTTGTCTACTTGAGAAAACTTCCTAATTGGCAGGTACATCTTAATTAATACAAAACTGAAAAAAGCACTGTTAAATTTTTGTTACATACTTGGAGAAACCATGCAGTACACAGAAGATGTAGGATCTGTCTGTGAGGATTCTTTGTGGATATTAAAAACAACCACAAGTGTGTATCTTATACTAAATGCATGAAACCAAAAAAAAAACAAAGGGACACTGCACAAGAAACAGCTTTATTCTAAGAGGGAGAATGAGAGTTAAAAACGTTCGTTAAGTACTTACCTTTATCTTTGTTGTGTGCAGCAAGAGTTTAGGGAATCCATCCCACTAAAAGCCATCCAGCACAAAGCAAAAGCCACCATTCCAGGAGAACCTAAATAACGGCAAAAAGGTTGGGGTGAACAGGCTGTCAGATCTTTGTAGGAATCAGGAGCAAAAACATCCTGCTGCCTGGTGTCTGGCTCAAGCTTCTGGCTAACACATGGCACTGGCTGCATGACAGACATAGCCAGACACATTCATCAGTTGTGGAAGGCCTCAGAAACATCCTGAAAAATCTTAAAACTCAGACACAAGAGAGGAAAGAATGTCTTGTGCTTGGGCCCACGTGAAGGAATCTGGTTTTAATTCCCAGTTTCTGGGTGACCTTGAGCAAAACATTTGCTCTTGCTATATTCTCTCAGTTGTCAAATGCAGATGATACTCTCTACGGTCATGGATTTTGCAACACTAAAAACGTTAACACTTGTATTAATGCTCAGGTGCTCCAAGAAAATACAGGAACTTTATCAAGCTGTAGCCACGTCCTATACGGCTGTGCTGAAGTGTCCAGGTCATGATTTGTTCTAAGGTACTGGAAAAACACACACAAAAATGCTGCAGCAACACTCGGGCGAAAGAAGCTTCTTGTGCAGAGTAGTCACGATACTGCTGCACTCCGCATGGACATTCCAGGGAAAGGATTATGACTTGTGCCTCAAGACAGATATAAGAAATCCTGCTATTTACCTGGCAGCACCTTGAACTAAAACAAGCATAATAAATCTACTACTTCCTGACACCACCCAAAGCTCTTCACCTTCATTAGGCAAACTCTGCCCTAGGAGGAGTATAAATCAGGCTTTGCTGCTCATAAGACTTAAAAGAAAAGCTTTTTTTCGTATTACAAACATATCTTCTATGTCACTGTTCAGAATTCAGTCTCCAGTCTGTTTCAATGATCACGGTCTTACATGTAACTCCAAAATGAAATTGCTATTCTGGTCACTTGATTAATTGACATTTTTGTCTCCTAGGTGCCCTACATATTTGGAAGTAGTGCAGGTACATAAGTAGGGAATTGCTGAAGTGCCTGAGCTGAGTAAAAGAAGGCTTAGATGTTGCAACGGGTGGACACATTCCTGAGCACCATATTCTGCTTTCTTCATTCTTTCAGTTGAAAGTTGGCCAGAAGCATGTAAGAAAAACACCCTGGATTTCTTTTTACTCTAGACTATTCAGCAATGTTAAGCAGTAAGTTTTTAATATTTTCACTTTTTCCCCTTGCCCCTGAAAAAGACTTATGCAGGAAAGACCTGGAGGTAAAACTGCACTTGTTCATACAGGATATCACTCATGACTGTAAAGCTCTGTGTGGAAGAACTAGTACACTCCCTAGCATCTCATTGCCTCTGACCTCCAAGCTTTCTCATGGCTGTTAGAATGCTTGCCCTGTGAGACAGGAGCTACGGCTGTTTTGATGACAGTGGAGTGTACATGCCAGAAGTAGCAGCCACCTGATGGTGAAATTTGTCAGCAAGGATGCACTGGCAAAACGTAACCTATTTGCAGTCAAATGTCTACAAAAGTGCTCACAGTGCATGAGTAGAGGAGTTATCTATTCACATTCTTTCAGTTCTCTGAGATGCTTCTGCTTTTATTTGTGTTTGCTTGATAATAATATTGATAATAGAAGATTGATAATAATAAATATGAATATTGTTTGTTTGCATTTTAGTGCCATATAACGTTGTGAAGACTGATTATTGATTATTTAGTTGAGTTCTGTGGTCTAATTTGCATACTACAGAATAACACAACAGTTCGATGTCAGAGAACACGTATATCGCAGAACAACCTGATAGTGGAACCACAGAAAGACTATTGTTGCCAGGAACTTCTGGTCTTCTTGTTTAAGCAATGCGTAAACCCCCAAAATAATTGTACAATTTCAGTCTTTCTTAGAGGCTGGATGGACTCCCTAAGAGAACAGCACTTTGCAGAAGAGCACTAGTAAGGCAAGTATTACCTTTTTGCATGCTCAGATGAAGAAACATCACTTGCAACTTGTTTTTTTGGCTTTATCTTTCAGTACAAATGTGGTACTTTACAATGGATTTGGACTTAAAAATTAAAAATAAGAGAAAAGAAAAAGGAAAAATAAAATAAAAATGATACTAAGCTATGTAAACAAAGGCTAAACTATTTCCACTAAAGGCTAGCACTGAGATACAGCTACTACTAGAATGAATTAGATGTTGCCCTTCCTAATACTATTTAGTACATTTTAGCTTTAGGAGAAAAACAATATTGATAATATACCAATGTTTTAGTGCTGTGCAGAGCCAAGGATATTTCAGTTTTGATCTTCTCATATTGTCCTGACAGCAAAAGGAGCTAGGGAGCACACGGAGGAGACAGAACTGAGACAAATGACCCAAGCTGTCAAAAGGGATATTCCATGCCATACGGCATCATGTGAACTGGCTGGGCATCAGCTCGCAGGTGATGAGCAATTGCATTGTGCATCACTTGTTTTGTAAATATATACATATATATCATGATCATTACTATTATTTCTATATATATATATTTATTTTTTTTTTGGTTTATTAATAGTTTTCATCTCAACCCACAAGCTCTACTTCTTTATTTCTGACTTTCTTCCTCATCCCATTGGGCAGGGGTGTGAGGGAAAGGTTGTGTGGTGCTTTCTGGGTTAAACTCCAGCAGATCTTCAAAATATGTTAAGAACAGACTAAAATCATAATTTTTAAAAATATTATATTAAAAGAAAGATTGAAAGAATTAAGGAGATAAATGGTAATTTATACTGAAACTTGATGTATGTGCCTTCGTACAGAATGATGAAACAGGTACTTATTATGTTTGCCAAAATCAGATACCTTCTGTTCTTCATCTAAAGCTCATACTGATCTGCTGATGCACACACACCACTGCAATTCCAAATACATCAGAGCTGTGCTAGTTACTGCTCTTCAAATAGAAAATCAAGAGAACCTCTCCACAAAAATATCCTCTCTAGCGTCATTAGCATCATCTTGGTAAGAGCATAATGAATATGATCTGTAACACAATTTACTGTCATATCACATCAGGATGGAACGAATGCTCTAGCAGCCAGTTTGAAGTAACAAAAATTAAGTACTGCATAAAGAAATTACCTTACTCAGATAACCCAGAATTGTGCAGGAAAAGTTCTTCTTTTATCTTGTAGTTGCATGTGTGCTCTTGGGTGGTGCTGCAAACCACCGGGTCATCTTATGCACTGTTCCTTGTGTGCAGAATCTAGATGAACAAGCCAATCCATCTCAGTCAGGATGGGTAAGTTGTTTGACTTTTTAAGAGGAGCCCATGACCACTCCCCAGAATACATTTGGCTCCACCTACACTCAGAAAAGCCAAGTTCTGTCACGAACCGGAGATTAGAGAAATTAAAATCAGGAAGGGGTGAAGGGAATGGTGTGAAAAGCCAAACTTCATTGTATATCTATACTGTATT